TTCCATTACTAGTATATTCTAATTAATTTCAATAAGTTAAAGAGGATTAACTTGAAGAAAATCTTTATTAACCTGAATAAATTCTTTATTACTCATAATTAGGAGCATATAAATTCATTTAATATCCAAATATCTTTGCTTTAGAATTAGATGGAGTGGTTAAAAGTTATAAATTTTCAGGGATCTAAATAATATAAATTAGATTTTGGATAATGAATCACTTTGAAATTTTGGGAGTACAAATTGAAACTAATTCATTAATTCTTTATCATATTGATTTCTTTGAATTAAATTAAGTTTTTAATTACACTTTGAAAGAATACTATTTTTTAAATCCGTTAACGTACATATTTGATTTAAATCACTTAGCTATTTAAATTGAATAAAATTAACCTGTTATTATAGCTCTTTTTTCTTTTAAGAATAAAGTAATCAAATTGAATGATATTATTTTCATTGATGATAACTATTTTGAGTTTTATGATCTTAGATTATTCTATTTAAAAAATAAATAACTAATATAACATTACTTGAATGAAATTTCAGTTAATATAGAAACAAATATGAACATCTAATAACCCTTTTTTTCAGATTATTTATTAAAATTAAGGCCAAATTATTAGTATGAAAATAATGCAAATATAAACCTCCTTATATAAAATGAATGTCATCGTTTATATCCTAATAATGATATAGTTTCTTATAGATAAAAAATAAAATAAAATTTATTAATCAATATTTCAAAATTATTTTCAGGTCCAATACAAAATTTATAAATTAAAAATAATTCCAAAATTTAATTAACAAGACCTTTTTAATCTATTTAAGAGATTAAATCTTGCCAAAAAGAATTAAATTTTTGTGTAAAGCAAGCTGAATTTTTAATATCAAGACAAGATAAGGTTTTTTTTTCGGTAATAATTTAAGAAGAGAAAATATTGGTAGCATTTTAATAAAATAATCTTTATTAAGTATTATGGGCTAAAGAGAATTATTTTTTTCTGTTTTGTTCATTATAAGAGAAAATAGAAATTCGATTACTTTAATGTTTTAAGAAGGAGAATGAAAATTGTAAGGAAGTTTAATAATAAATCATAAACTTTAAATCTGATCTAAAAACTTTTGAAGATATTTTAAAAACTTAAAATTTAGTGAGACTCAAGAATCAAAAATAGCAGATTTATTTATTGATTTAAGATTAAAATTTCAGTGTTTTTAACCTTCCTAATATGAATGAAGATATTTAATATATAGAATAATCGTTAGATTATTTTGCTTCTGTATCATGGTAGGATTATCAATCAAAATCTAAAGTTGAATTAAATATTTATTAAATTAATATTAATGGATGTACTGAGATATTCTCTTAATTAATTACCAAAGAGATTTAAATGTTATTACCATTTTTTTTTTAGCAAAATGGAAGTTTTAGAAATATTTAATTAGTTTCATGTGTATTGAATGGCAATGTTACAATTATAGCTCTTTTATTGATAAATAATTAAGGAGGTTCCTTTATAATAAATATTTCTATTGATATTAAGTAGGGCTCTATTATTAATTAGTAATTGACAAAATAGATAAGAAATCCACCATAAAGTTTTCAATTTTCAATTGATTATGTGGATTAAAATTAACTCATTTTTGGATAACGATATTAAAATAAAACCTATTTTTATGATCTTTAAGAAGAAAGAACATTTTATGATTATATTTATCGCTTAGATTCTCAAATTTAAATTATAAGTTGCAATACTACACATTTTATTTTTATTAATCAATCGATGGCATATTTAGGAAGAATAAAATATGAAATTAATTTAGTAAATATTTCAGATTTTAGTTTTAATTTTATCTTATATGCTTATAATGAAGTATCAGATGCTTAAATTTTAGTTCAAATAACTTTAGAAGACACTTTTATGAATTCTAATAAGAACATCATAATTATTGAAATAATAGATTTAATTTTAATTCTATTATTTTTAGGACACAAAAGATAAATGAAGGTGAAGAGAAAGATGTAAAAAAATTAAATTTTAAAATGAAATATAAGCTAATATTAATAATTATTTTAACAATTATAAAAATAATTGTATTTATATAAATTGTAATAAAAATTTAAATTCAAAAAAAACGTTTTGTTTTAGCAAATAAAAGTCAAAATATGACTCTGTTAGATTTTAACAATTTCATTTTCTATTTAATTGATCAATATTATAGAGTTACATTGATATTAAGTTATGAATGAAATACAAAACTGTGTTGATATTGCTAACTATAAATAATTAAAATATGGAAGAGCAGTAAAATAAATTAAAATATTGCAGAATCTAATTAAGTGACCCAAAAGTAGATTTATAATTTGAGAAGGTTATTTTTAAATAAAATATAAATTAAATAATTTGCTGAAACATTTTTAAATTTAGGTTTTTAGATTATAATATGTTATCAAGTTTCTTGATTATTTAATTTAAGTAAAATTTACTTCTATTTAATTTATTGTAAATCTCCATAGAAAAAGATTACTAGAATTATTCTTATGGTGAATTTTTCATACTTTATCAGTAACTTTTCATCTCCAATCAATTTTTCACACAGTTGATCAATCAAGTTATTAATTCGACCTAAATTAATCAATGAGTTGTTTGCCAGAAAACCCTAAAAATAGTTATAAATTTACTTATTGGTGTGAATCAAGTTATTTTAATTGGTCTAGTTCAGATTGAGTTAAATGAAAATTTAATGATGTTATAATTCTTCTCTATGCTTTGAAAAAAATAATCTTTGAATCAAGTAAACAATTATCAATAGAATAATTTAAATACAAAAACAAATAATATCTTTGGTACTGATAGATTAACCATTTTGTTAAGTATTTTGTAGGTCTTTTTTTCGATTAAGAAAACATTAAAAAATATTTTAGATAATAGTAACTTAATTTAAAAGGATCATATAGAAAGGAAATTGTACAACTAACTATATGGGAATTATAATTGTTCTCGTTTTATTTCTAATAACGAGTCAAATAATGATATTTTTCTAAGTAGTAAAGNAAATAATAGATTTAATTTTAATTCTATTATTTTTAGGACACAAAAGATAAATGAAGGTGAAGAGAAAGATGTAAAAAAATTAAATTTTAAAATGAAATATAAGCTAATATTAATAATTATTTTAACAATTATAAAAATAATTGTATTTATATAAATTGTAATAAAAATTTAAATTCAAAAAAAACGTTTTGTTTTAGCAAATAAAAGTCAAAATATGACTCTGTTAGATTTTAACAATTTCATTTTCTATTTAATTGATCAATATTATAGAGTTACATTGATATTAAGTTATGAATGAAATACAAAACTGTGTTGATATTGCTAACTATAAATAATTAAAATATGGAAGAGCAGTAAAATAAATTAAAATATTGCAGAATCTAATTAAGTGACCCAAAAGTAGATTTATAATTTGAGAAGGTTATTTTTAAATAAAATATAAATTAAATAATTTGCTGAAACATTTTTAAATTTAGGTTTTTAGATTATAATATGTTATCAAGTTTCTTGATTATTTAATTTAAGTAAAATTTACTTCTATTTAATTTATTGTAAATCTCCATAGAAAAAGATTACTAGAATTATTCTTATGGTGAATTTTTCATACTTTATCAGTAACTTTTCATCTCCAATCAATTTTTCACACAGTTGATCAATCAAGTTATTAATTCGACCTAAATTAATCAATGAGTTGTTTGCCAGAAAACCCTAAAAATAGTTATAAATTTACTTATTGGTGTGAATCAAGTTATTTTAATTGGTCTAGTTCAGATTGAGTTAAATGAAAATTTAATGATGTTATAATTCTTCTCTATGCTTTGAAAAAAATAATCTTTGAATCAAGTAAACAATTATCAATAGAATAATTTAAATACAAAAACAAATAATATCTTTGGTACTGATAGATTAACCATTTTGTTAAGTATTTTGTAGGTCTTTTTTTCGATTAAGAAAACATTAAAAAATATTTTAGATAATAGTAACTTAATTTAAAAGGATCATATAGAAAGGAAATTGTACAACTAACTATATGGGAATTATAATTGTTCTCGTTTTATTTCTAATAACGAGTCAAATAATGATATTTTTCTAAGTAGTAAAGAACAAAAATGAATACAGGTAGACAAATAGGTAGAAATTAGCTAAAGAGGATATTTGCTAAAATTTAAAAATTCAAAAATAAGATTTTACATTTATTTTTAGGAAAATAATTCTTAACAATATTTTGCAAAATAAAAAGCACCAAAGTAAATTTCTGATAAAACTGAGAATCTATTGGCAATTATCTATTGCCAATTAACTATTGAAAAAAAATAATTCTAGTAATCCACTGTTTCTCTACATTATAATTTGCATATTATTTCTTTTTGATTAAAGATTCATATTAATAACCATTGTAAGTTAAAGAATAAAATTAAAGATAAAAAGCATCATCATTACAAAGACTTAATGATTATTTTAAGATGATAGATTTAATAAATCCTACTGATGTTTTCATAGAAATTCATTTATAATTACAATTCATTTGTAATGTTATTTTCAATCTCCTATTCAAATTATTTCATTTTATAAGCAATCCAAAGAGAATCTAAATTTTGTACTTGAAATTAATTTAAAAGTTCTGATTTATTGAGTTTAGTAATAGTTTCATCTATTTCCTATTATTATGTGCAATCTGTTATGATTAACTCATTATTAAAAATTAGCATTTACTAAAACTATTCATCTGTTTTTATATACCAAATAACATTCTATCTTAAGTAATAGGTAATACTAATCAATTGAAAATAAAATGATAAATGCCTTCAACAATAAAAGATATTTAGTTATACTATCTCCTAGTAAAGATATAAATTTTAAATATGATAAAGAAGAATTTGAGATTATTCTGGCACAAAATGAACACTTTTAGCCATCATGATCTAATTATTTGACATTTATTTGATTTTTAAGAAATTAATAAATTGATATACTCTATGTATTTCTGCTAATTCAAAGTTTTGAGGGATTTAGAATATATAATAAGTATTATTAGTATTATTAGTATTATTAGTATTATTAATATTATTAGTATTATTAATATTATTAATATTAGATTAATCTAGATAATTGAGTTTAATTGGTTAACTCAAAGTGCAATTTATTTATTAATTAAATCTAAAATAGTTGTAGAGAATTTTCTAAATAAGTAATTAAAAAATAAAGAATAATTTTTATTTTGTTATATATATATAATTTTTAAGATTAAAAAAGTTTAACAGAAAATGTAATATACTGCCCCAATAGAGAGAAGACTAGTATTTTAGCCATCTTAATAAATAATGCCATTAATGCAGAGAAAAGAAAACATTTTTTCTCCTTTAAGGATAAGTCCTTCAACATAATAACATTTCAGTCCTTCATAGAAATAATTTTAAAAGGGAAATGAAGTTTATTAGAATAGGTTAAATACAAATGATTCGGAGAAGGAGAAAGAAATAAAAATATTAATATAACATAATTAAAAGATGAAGGATTAGATAAATTAATAAGCAATAGATTATGAGAATTTAAAACACAGTTATGATAAAATGTATTAAGATCAATTAAGATTAATAAATGAATTGGAATAGATATCAAAAGTATCTGAATAATAATTAAAAGAAATAAAAATAAAACAAGAAGTAATCAAAGATTTATAGCATCAATTAGAATAGTAAAATCATTCATAAAATAAAACATCAGATGAAACTTAGTTACTTAGATAATAGTTGTAAATAAAAGATTAAGAGATTTTTAAATTCAAGGCAATATTGGAAGAAAAGAATTTAGAGAATTAAGAAATAAGGAATACTTTGAATACTATAAATTAGAAAGTATAGTTTATGACATAGCAGAAAGATTAATAATATTAGATAATTGATAAATTTAATAAAGAATTACAAGATGAGGTAACTTTAAAGACTTAATAAATACATGCAACAAGTTAGAATTTAAGTTAATCATAATAGTAAGTGACATAATTGAAATTTGAGATTGATTCATTAAAAGTGAAATTACAATCATAATAATTAATGATTCCTTTGTAATAATTATAATAGAAATATTTAATGCTTTGTATGGAAAATGATAGATTACATAGTGTAATATAAAAGGAGTATGAGATAAAGAGATAGATGGAATAATAATAAGGGAAATATGAATAAGAAATAGAGTAATTAAAGAATGAATTAAAGTAGATATCAGATGAATTTGCTAGATTGTAATAGGGTTTGGTATTTGAATAAAAGAATATGTATTTAATAGAGAATTTGAAGAATTAATTAAATTATTATATAGATGAGAATGCAAGACTAAATGTTGTAATAAGATAATAATCAAGAATATGAATATAAATACAATAATAGCAATACTATATAAATCAATATTTCTTATTATTGAACTTTTTCAGGAATAACCTAATTATCTTGATTATATAATTTAACTTTTTCTTGATTTTAAAGTTTGAGTGGTTAGTCTCTCTTTTATGATGCAACCATTTATTGTTTTAATTCTAATTAGTAGCTGAATTAATAGTTTCTACGTTTAATCACTAAGAAATACAAAGATGAAAATTAAGAGTAGCAAATAAACTTAAATAGTTTATTAATATAATAAATTCATCATTTAAATAGCAGGATAACTGACTAGGAAGATATAATATCATACAAAATGATATACTTTCTTAAGATACATGAGAATATTTATCAGCAAAGCTAAAGTGCAAATAAGTGAGATCTCTAAGATATTAACTCAAATATCTTAAAAAATTGATATTCCAAAATCTCATCATATAATTTTACTCAATTTATTCAATTTTCATTTGTCCTCTAAAATTCACCTGAAGCAAATATTGCAAAATTCAGCAATCATTTGAGCTTTATTAAAATTAATAATTTAATTAATAATATTTTAATAAACCTTTTTAAATACTATAGATAAAAATAAAATTATACTAAATAGTGTCTTATATTAATTTAATTTCTCAGTCATTTTAATTTAATAATAATATCATATATCATAATCATCATCATAAGGTTCATCTTCACTCATTTCCTTTTATTTACTAGTTGAATTCTCATCATCAAATATGAATTCAAAATCTAGATTTCCAAATTTTTATTCAAGTTTTTTGAAACTATACAATCCATTAGACATCATAGCTGAGTATATTAAATAATCGAGATTAGTAATAGCTTCAAATCCATATTTATCAAGAGTATTTTTAATTTTATCTTTTTAGACAAAAACATCACCTTATAATTCAAGTCTTTCTTTATCATTAAATCCTAAAATTGTTTTTAAATCCATATTCTTAGAATTCTTTAAGAACTATAATAAACTTTAATAATCTTTAAGATATTTATCTCTTTTTAATATTTCATCTGTTGGAGTATTGATTTCTAGAAATGCAGAATTAGGGGCTAATGATATATAAATGAATTACCACATATAACTCCAATATCCCAAAATATTTATTCTTAATTAATAGTTTTAGGGACATCAACTAATTTTAATTCTTTATTAGTAATGATGTAAACTTTTAAATGTTGAGGATGAACATAATCAGGTTCAATTATATCAGCTATAATTCTATATACACCTTTTTTAGTATTTAGATCATGAATAATAATCCTTTAACATCCAGATTCATCATTTAAATCATATAAAACATTTTAATGACTTTAATCAATTGATACACCATCTGGTAGTATAAGTTTAATATCTATGGGCATAACTTCAACATTGGTTTAAATAAGAATCATAACTGAATTATTATCATCTAAATGTTGAATCAAAGGGAATGATAATTCTCTAAGTTGATACAAATTCATTTTAGACTAGGTGGTACCATATTCTTCAACAATTGGAAAGTATCCTTCACTAAAATAAATAGAAAAAATATAGATACGTTTAAATGACCATTTTCCCTTCTAAGACTCCTTATAAGATGATTCTACAAGTTCCTTCTTGATCAGTTACATAAGTTTATGCTTATTTGGTGGATTCTTCATTTAATATAACTTAAACACCTTCAATAGGTAAATTGGTATATGGATCATAAATGAATACTTAAGTAGATTTATATCCTGAGATTGGTCTATTAGGATTAGAGACAGCTTCTTATTTAGTAGGTTCCATATATTCAGGTTATTCAAATTATGATTGCATAGATTATGATTATGATTTAGGTTTAGGAGGTAATTATTATAATTATTATTATTATTAAGATTATGATTTATTAATTTATTATAATGATTGATTAGTATTAGAACCTTATTATGATCTTTAAGCACTAGTAGGTCTTGCACTACTTGGTTTTTATAGGGGTTATAATTATTTAGCTGATTAAGGTGGTTTAATAGATTATATATCATTTGGATCTGATTCCAAAATTAATTTAAATTCATTAACACCTTGAACAGCATCAATATTTTAAATTAATTCTTTATATCCTCTTTTAGATACAATAAGAGAATATGTACCAGGTTCTAAGATGGCTTCATATCTACCAGGTTCAATTTCTCTAGATAACATACTTTCTTAAGTTTGAAGATTATTAATAGTAATTTTGGCTTCATTAATGATGGATCCTTATTAATTAAATATTTTAATGTCTAAATATGAATGAGTTTATTTTCGTAATTTGATAACAACTTGAATAGTATCATTACTTTATTCAGCCATTTCAACCATATTTAAAAGTAATTATTCATTTAAATAATCATTCGATTCTTATACTTCAACAGCATAAACATCAACAGGTACATCTGTTAATTTAATATATCCTTAATTATTAGTTTTAACAATTATTTTTCTTTCTTTGTTATTAGTTCTATTAGTTCTTTTAGTTTATTAAGATATTCTAGATACACTTGATTATGGTCTATCTTATCTATGAGGTGTTAAGGTTACTTCAATATTATTGAGATTCCCAATTATATTTTCACCAAAACTAACATAAATTTCTAATGGAGCAGTATTTAAATAATCACTTATTCTTTCAATTACTTCTGCATAATTAGGCCACATCTTAGTAGTTAATTTAGAAAAAACTAATCCTTTTTTAACTTAATCTCTATTTTTAGAACAAACTTAAACTTCAAATGCTCCAATTCTTCTTTATATATATAAAGTATCTATTGAATAATCATGTGGATCATATATTAATGGTTTTAAATAAACTTTTGCAGTTGGATATTATTGAATTAATTCCTATTTTAAATTAGTGGCAAATGTGTAATATTTCTCTTCATCATGTCTAGTTGATCCTGCATGTTAACTACAATTTGTACTATTCATTCTAATTTATATCAATACCAATATTCAATTGTAACTACTAAATCTCCATTATAAAGATTCTCAAATTCTTTAAACTTTCTAAATTCACCTTTCTCTTACATCAATTAAATCTCCTAATTTAATTCTGATAATTCTTTAAACTTTTTCATCTTATTATTCTTCTAATGAATAACAACTAGTCCTGAATCTAAATGTTCATATTTTGGCAGCTAATTAAATATCCCTGATTTATATTTCAACATATACCTGGAGCTATCCAAGCTTTAGCATGCACTTTTGGATCATAATGATTATCTCGAAGACGGGAATTTGTAGCCGCTGATTGAACTCTTGTCTGTTTCATTTTAATTGTTTAATAACTATATCAAATTTTTTACTCAATTATTCACATTTATCAAACCTCTCTCTCTCCAATATCTTCCTTTATTATTATTATTATTAATATTATTTATTTTCTCTCCTCTTCTATCCTTAATCTATTCATCAATCTGTTTAACAATTTTACTCATTTTATTTCTTTATTCTCTTACAAATACATTTCTATTCCTTCTCTATTAACTCTTAATTAATTCAAAATTATCATCAAAACTCTATTTTCTAAATCAACTACTTATAATATAATCTTCTTATCAATTTATTCATTAAAATAATTCTTATTCTTATTAATCTTTTTCTTATCAATCTACATAATCAACTTTCTTATTAACAATTAATACTCTATGTAACTAATCTCTCATCCAAACTCATTTTTTTTAGTTATTTTTACACTCTCTTATAATCCTAATTATCAATTATTCTACTTTTTATTTATTTAATTATCAGTTCTTCTAATTTTAATGTTTACTCCTTTATTTTCACAAAGTACATTTAATTCATTTTTATTTCTTTTATTCTTTGCTATTATGCAAAATATCATTATTATATTAATTATAAATATTTTTAGTTTTGCTCGTAAAATTTAAAAATAGTTAGTAACTCAATCTTTTCTTTTACTAGATTAATTATCTTTATTTGATGAATTAGAAGCATCTTTCTTTTTTTACTTTTTGATTTTCTTTTTTATGCATTCTTCCTTTTATATTCTTTCATTCACTTCATATTTTGAGTAAAATTGTAATGGACTAGAAGAATATGAAGAATGTGTTTCTAATAAACATATCCCACAATCTATACGATACAATAATAGATTTAAATAATCTTCTAATTCTGGGAATCCTAATTTAATAATTATATTAAAATTACCATTAGTCTAAAATGAGCTTAATAATATTTAAAGAATGCTTGCGGTATCAATATCTAAATAGAATGTTTTTTATAAATGTTTAACTTAATCTTAATCAACTTCATAGATATCATTTGCAAATATAATTCTAAGCATGGATTTCATAATATCATTATCTTTATTTTTACTTAAGGCACATTATAATTAATAGATGGCTTATTGAAATTAACTCATAATAATTGCTAATTCCATCTGTTATAAATTATATATATATTATTATAATTATTAATAATTCTATTGATAAAAATTACTTGTCTAGATATAATAAAATTGATGAATAAAAATAAATATAATATTTAAAGAATATGAGATAACATTTCTTATCGGAACCAAACTTTATGACTTGTCCTAGGATAAGTGAGAGAGAAAAATAACAAAGATAGAGTCCTTATTTTTATAATACTTATATATAAAATAGACATGTTGATTGTTAAGGAGAAGCATATGATAAACGAGATTTAAGTAATGCAAGTAAAGATAAATAATTGTTGAAACCTGAAACAGTAAGATAAAACAATAGATTAAAATCAAAACCAGCAGTAACAAGATTGATGAAAAAATAAATTATATCAAATTTTTTAGAAAATAAGAAACTATTTTATAGTGTAACACCAATGTAGCCAATTTATGACCAATTTAAACGAAGAAATGAATAGAGAGAAAGGGATAGAAGATTTTAGAATAAATATTTTGATAAGAGTTATAAACATTATTTGAGTAGAGCAATACAATATACACTTTAATAAATATTAAACTTTCTCACTATGGATGATGTATTTAAAGTAAGATTGGATAGATATGATTATGATAGATATTTAAATAGATAACCTAAATTACTATAAAATAGTGTAACTTCTTCAGATTTGTTGATATTGCAATAAAATTAAATAGAGAATGAATTGACTTCTAATAGAAAGATTTAATTAATACTAAATGTATTTAATGATCCTCATTTTGGTGCTAAAGATAGAGAAGTCTTATATTAAGTTTTAAGATTTTAAATATGTCAAGCTTAGAAATAAGTAGTAAAGTTAGAAAAGGCAAGTATGGGTATAAAAGGTTTGAATAAATTTTAGAATAAGAAAGAAGATCATTTAGAATAAATGGCAATTATTATTGATTTTTTGTAAAATAATTATGAAAAATTAGTTAAATTACTCTGATAACAATAATTTCAAATTGTATTATTATAAATAAAGTTATCAAATAGAACATATGCAGCTTAAGGTTTCCAAAATGGTACTTCATGTCCAGCTCCTCTTACACTAATAAATCTTAATTATTTATTAAATTCCCAAGTTAATCCACCCACTTATCGCTATCTTGGTTTCTTTCCTTCTATAAACCATGCTCTCCATGGATCACTTTCTTAAAGATTTTATTCTTTAACAAGCATTTAAATCCAATCCAAAGTTCCTGTTATTGGTACATTACTATCAACATCACCACTATAAATCCATATCTTTAGACCATAATGTAGAAATTAAGAATAAAATCGATATGATCCTTATTCATCCTCTTTAAAATCTAAACTTGAACTACATGATCCCCATTTCATATGTTTGGCATGTATTATATCTTATACAGTTTTATTATTTAACATATAGTAATTGCCATATTCATAATTACATGGTAATTCAGTAACTCCTTTGAAATGTAAGAATTTCTTGTGTTTATTTTAATGATTTCTTTTATTTTGTCCATTTCCTTATTGGACTTCAGGATCATTATGATAGCATTCACCCAATATATTATTAATATCTACTCTAGAATATTATATTTTAGCAAGTAATTATTTTTATAATTCTTTACATCTTGGAGATATAAAATCTAAACATAATTATTCATAATTTTATCTAAATATGTATAATCATAAATTTACTTGTCTTCTAGACTAAGAAATCCCCTTTAAAAATAAATATTGAATTAATATTTACTAGTAAATAAAGGTAATTATTTAGAATCTGTACATTCAGATCCTAAAGTACATCCATTTCCAATAAGAATTCCTTTAAGATTGATTGTATTTTTGGATTAATTAATAATTAAGGATGTAAGATATGGTATATACATACCAGCATAAGATTCACCTCCAATATATAAAGGTCTATTTTCATAATTTGGAAATTAAACAAAAAAGTCTAATAAAGCATCAAGAGCATCTTAAGCTGCAGATGCATCATTTTAATATTTAGATGGATTAGAGAACCCTACTCCTTTAGGTAATTCAAGAAAGAGTAAATTAGCCTTCTTATTCCAAGCATAAGGATTAATGAATGACTAGATAGAATAATTTAGAATAATACTTCATTACTTAATGGTTTGAATTAAAAGGGACCAATTTCATAGAAATTTCCAAATAATGAACTACAACCTGGTCCTCCTTACATCCACAGAAATAATGGATCAGAATCTGGTTCAGATTGACTTGTCATTAATTAGTAATAGATTTGATTGTCATTTAAATAGCCACCGTACCATTTATGTTGATAATCTGATGGTAATTGACTTATTTTCTCATTAATAATTTCTGAATAACAGAGAATTGCACACACTAAAATTAAAAAATAATTCATCAAACTTATTATTATTTAATTTATTTATATTATATAATATTCTCTCTCATTTTTATTATTCATCTTATCTAATTTTTGATAGATGTGTATTTCTCAAACCAATACCCATTTATATTTTTATTTTGTTTCTATAATTTTGATTTCTCCATAATAAATGATTAATGATTCTTTTATGTTTATAACATCCAAAACTATGTGTTTTACCTTATCTTAAATCATTAATCACATTTAAAACTAATTCTTTAGTTTCAATGGTATTAACTCCTTTTTTATAATTTATCATTGCTGTACTAACTCCTAAAGGTGTAACACTTAAAAAGTCTATATTTTTAGAAGTTAAAGCTAAAGATTATGTANTAATTATTTTTATAATTCTTTACATCTTGGAGATATAAAATCTAAACATAATTATTCATAATTTTATCTAAATATGTATAATCATAAATTTACTTGTCTTCTAGACTAAGAAATCCCCTTTAAAAATAAATATTGAATTAATATTTACTAGTAAATAAAGGTAATTATTTAGAATCTGTACATTCAGATCCTAAAGTACATCCATTTCCAATAAGAATTCCTTTAAGATTGATTGTATTTTTGGATTAATTAATAATTAAGGATGTAAGATATGGTATATACATACCAGCATAAGATTCACCTCCAATATATAAAGGTCTATTTTCATAATTTGGAAATTAAACAAAAAAGTCTAATAAAGCATCAAGAGCATCTTAAGCTGCAGATGCATCATTTTAATATTTAGATGGATTAGAGAACCCTACTCCTTTAGGTAATTCAAGAAAGAGTAAATTAGCCTTCTTATTCCAAGCATAAGGATTAATGAATGACTAGATAGAATAATTTAGAATAATACTTCATTACTTAATGGTTTGAATTAAAAGGGACCAATTTCATAGAAATTTCCAAATAATGAACTACAACCTGGTCCTCCTTACATCCACAGAAATAATGGATCAGAATCTGGTTCAGATTGACTTGTCATTAATTAGTAATAGATTTGATTGTCATTTAAATAGCCACCGTACCATTTATGTTGATAATCTGATGGTAATTGACTTATTTTCTCATTAATAATTTCTGAATAACAGAGAATTGCACACACTAAAATTAAAAAATAATTCATCAAACTTATTATTATTTAATTTATTTATATTATATAATATTCTCTCTCATTTTTATTATTCATCTTATCTAATTTTTGATAGATGTGTATTTCTCAAACCAATACCCATTTATATTTTTATTTTGTTTCTATAATTTTGATTTCTCCATAATAAATGATTAATGATTCTTTTATGTTTATAACATCCAAAACTATGTGTTTTACCTTATCTTAAATCATTAATCACATTTAAAACTAATTCTTTAGTTTCAATGGTATTAACTCCTTTTTTATAATTTATCATTGCTGTACTAACTCCTAAAGGTGTAACACTTAAAAAGTCTATATTTTTAGAAGTTAAAGCTAAAGATTATGTAAAATAATTGGTAAATGCTTTAGTTCCACTATAAACACTAACAAATGGACTAGGTAAATATGCTAATCCAGAAGATATTGTAATTACAGCAGATTTCTTATTTCTATTTTATAATTTATTAATTAGAATTCTAGTCATCATAAGTGTTGATAATGCATTTACTCTCAACATCATAAATGAATCTTCCATTTTTTATTATTCAAATTATCCAGCCTCTCCTGTTCCAACATTATTTACTAATATTGAAATATCCAAATATTCAAGTTATTTATAGATTTAATTATAAAAATCTTCCGTATATCCATTATTAAAATCAGCAACTATATATTTAGTTTGAACTCCATAATTCTATAATTCCAAACAAATTTAATCCATTTTTTTAGCATTTCTACTTATTAATGCAATATTAAATTTCTATTTAGCTAATTAAATACAAAATTCTTTTCCTATTCCATCTGAGCCTCCTGTTATTACTGCCCAAGATTCTTCTCCATATCTTCCAATTAGATTTCTTCTTCTTATTGAAGGTGTCAATGCCATAGCCAATTATGATAATCTCCTTAACAAATACAAAGATCCTTTTATTTTTATACATCTTTATATCTACCTACTCCCATTAAAAATGTTTTTAATTTTCTCTTTCTGTATATATGTTGGTAATATTTATGTATTAATTTACTATGAATCGATACCAATAATTAAAACCCTCTCTTTAATATTTCCATCTCTTATATATTTATTAATAATTATATAAATATTTATATAAAACATTATATGAAATCTTTTGGTTTCTCTAAATTCACTCTCCTTGATAGTTTAGTTAACTATAAGGCACCTCATATACCCATATCCAATAATGATTTCATTAAGTAAATTAAGTCAAAATCTAAAGAACCTCTACAATCACCTAAAAATATGTAACTTTCATCAGAAATCCCTAAACATGTAAGCTAATCATTAGAACTTTAAACTGAATCTTAAGAATAAACATAACCAAAACGCAAATTACCACTTAATAGAATAAGAAATTAAAGTCTTGCAGCACCCTCTATTAATGTCTATTTAGAATAAATTGAAATAGCTAAACTTAATAATAGATAAATTAAACATGACATGAATAAAATTCTTAATAATGTTAGCCATTATGTTTCTTAAATTAAGGCTGATTAGAAATCCAAAAAATATATAATTGCACCTACTAAAAACAATTTCTCAACTGATAATAAATTTAAACCAATCAATCTTGATAGTAAAGATGCAATAGAAATGATTTCATCAAATTAATCTCTCAAAATACCATAGCATGATATATCAAGAAGTTGCTAATCTGAATAATCTACTGCTAGAAAAATGTAATCAGATAATCATGCTATTAATAACCTTATTGATCTTATCAAAGATTTCCATTCTAAATTAGATTAACTTAAAAAATTATGGTAAAATGATAAAAGATTAGAGAAATTCATTAAATTTTAACTCTCACTTAAACCTGATTTATAAACTATCTTTTTTCCAGATGAGGATACCAATCACATTCATTTGAATTATTAATAATTACAAAAGTTATTCATTCTACCTAAAGCAAATTAATATGGTGAAATATGGAATTTCACAGCTGGATATTAATTAAGAGACATTCTAAATTCCATAAATAAGATCTTAGAATAATAAAAGTTTTAAGAACTCTTTGATATCAAAAAATCTATACAAGAATCTTCTAAAACTATCAAAGAACTTGAATAGTATCTTATTATATTCTAATTAGGCATAAAGTAATTCAAAAGTATTCATTAAAAAAAGATTACAATTACTTAAGTTTTCAAAGTCTCCTTATGAGTAATGAAGAAAAAGATAAAAATGTAGACAAAATGGAAAGATAACTTGGACCATTAAGTAAAGTGACAATATAGAATAGAAAAATGAGTAATATGATTAACGATGCTATTCATAATTTGCAATAAAAATAAATTAATTGAATAAATATGTTATATAATCTTATTTATATTAATTTTATTAATAATATTTAAATGAATAACAAAATTCGATTTTATTCAGAAGATCCAAATCAATAACTTCAATATAATTAACAATTTTCTAATCAATCAAATCCATTTGATCCTTATAATAACTAATAATAATAAGGGGTTTATTAATTAGGAAATTTTGGTCATGCTGCAATCAACAACCAAACAGATTTATAGAATTTAAATTAAAAAGAATTAGTAGCTACAACTGATTCTGTTGGAAGAGCTGGATTCATTGTTAAAGAATATGCAACAATGACCTTTTAACTTGCTATCACATTTCTATTTATTTTGGCATCCTATTATTTTGAAAATGTGAGAAACATCATTATTATTATTAATCCAGGGTCTATTCAATATACACCACTAATGATATTTTGTTTAATTATTGCATTTGTTATTGAAATTGCAATCTTTTGTTGCAAAAATGTCTCAAGAAGAATTATAATTAATTATGTAAACTTATATAGGTACGTTTAAATTACATATTACTCATCCTTTTTACTTTGTGTTACAGTACACTTGTGGTTGCTTCTTGTATTATTTGTTTTTATTTATTATCAAACGGAGATGAATTATCAATTTTCTAATTTTTATAGTTTAATTAGTTATCATTGCAGCAGCAATGATAACTAATAATTACTTTATTATTAACATTTTATGCCTGGCATACTAAAACTGATTATACAGCATAAGGTTTTTTATTTTATTTATTTTCAGGTAAATTCTGTTTTATTGTAAGCTTAACTTTATTAACGATGTGCAACATTGGTTTATTTATTCGAAATATTTGGTTCTAATTATTTATTTGTACTTTTAGTATCATTCTCTATGAGGTTTTCTAATCTATGATACACAACTTATTGTTGGCGAACATGTAATCTTATTTTATTAATTCTCTAGTCTTATTACTTATCAGTTGATGATTATACTATTGCTGCTCTATTATTATACGTCGATATAGTCATACTCTTTTTGAAAATATTAGAAATTTTGTTGTATATTTTTGGAAAAAGGTGAATTTTAAAATTCACAATCAATAATGTATTATTCTTTGCAAATTCCTTTCCTTATTAGAAAATCTATATATTATTTTACTGATTTCTGAAAATTGCCATAATTATTTAATATATCAATTTAATAAAATGGGATAATAATAATATCTTTTCAATTTTATATTATTTATAATCAATAAATCTTTTATTTATGATTACTCTTCTAAATTAGTTTACAACATTAACAATCATATTTAAACTACATTTAAAATGATTTACATAAAATAAACTTTGTAAAAATTACACTTTAACCATAGGATCATATTACTTTGATTATAAATTGTTATTTTGATAATATCTATAGAGTTTGTTTTATTATGAATATATCTGAGATGAAATTGGCAATAATTATTTTAATGTAAAAAAGTAAAAATACTAATAAATTTATTATATTAATAAATATATAGATAATATTTAAATTCAAGATGCTGGCTTTTATTCAGACAATTCTTACTCTTTAACATCAAAACTTTGATTATAAGGGGCAGTTGAATCAACAATTTTTTTTTTCCATGCTAAAAAGGATATCTTGTGACCCCATTTTTTGAAGCATACATACATAAATATAATAAGCCAAACAATGATTACAAATAAAACATAAATTGCAATAGTATAATAAGCATATGCATAATAATTACCAGGAATCTAATATATAATTAATATATACTTCAGTTGTTGTAAATGTAAAGGAATGAGTTATATTACAGAGTGTAAATTATGATTGCCAGAGATTAAGTGTTTCTTCTTTTCCTTTACAATTAGTAGAATTTAATAGAACAA